AATCCCCAATGGGAGGGGGGGGGGCATGCAGGAGGCAGCTAATCAGTAATTCTCTCTCTCTCTCTCCCTTCCTCTCTGAAATCAATAAAAATATATTTTAAAATAAATAAATAAAAATTTATATGGAAATTCAAGGGTCTCAGAGTAGCTAAAATAATCTTGAAAAAGAACATAGTTTGATTTCTAAACTACAGTAATGAAGACAGTGTGGTATTGACATCAGAGGACATACCAGGTATAGATCAAAAGAACAGAACTGAAGATTCAGAGGGGAGGGGGGACCAAACTTTCTACATTTGTAAACAGTTGATTTGTGACAAGGGTGCTAAGACCATGCAATGATGAAAGAAGACTGCAACAAATTGTGTTGGGACAACTAGATGTCCACATGCAACAGAATGAAGTTGGAACCTCATTCTGACACTATATATAAAAATTAAATCAAAATCGATCAAAGACCTAACTTTAAGGAGCATGGATTTGATTTTACATGCAGTGGGAAGCACTTGGAGGGTTTTAAGAAGAAATGGTTTGATCATATTTAGACACTCAAGAGAGGACACAGGGAATTTGTTATTATAATCCAGGCAAGAGACAATAGAACCATGGATTAGGGTGTTAGCTGCGGGAAAGGAAATAAGTGGTCAGATTCAGGATAGGTTTTAGGGATAGAGCTCATGGAACTTGCTGATGGAGCACACAAGGAAGGAGAGAAGCGAGAGAGCAATAACTAAAATGTAAATTTTTGTCTTGAGCAACCAGATAGAATTCAGAATCTTTTACAGAGATGGAAAACTAGAAGAGGGAGAATCAAGAATTTTATTTTGGGGCCATGTTATGTGTGAGCTGTCTATCAGATACTCAAAATATGTACGGCAAAGAGTTGAATTTATATGCCCAATGTTCCCAGAAGGGTCAGGGCTGGAACGACAGGCATTTTGATGGCTTTTAAAGCCAAGATTGAGGTTATCTGAAGGAGTGTGTGGATGTAAAGGAAGCATCAGGCAACAAGCTCATGTCTGGCAGTCAAGTAGAGGAGTTTCAGCCAAGAAGTTTCAGAACAACAACAAAAAAGTAAGCGAGGCACCACAGCAGCGAAGACAAGAAGGCGTTTCATAGAGGGTGTGGTGATTGTAAATTGCTGCTGGCAGTCAAGTAGAGTGGCTACTGAGAAGAAACTCCGGGCTTTATTAACATGCAGATCACCAGTGTCCTAGAAAGGGCCTTTCAGTGGAGGGTTGGGGAAGTGGCCAATTGGAGTGAGTTTAGGGGAGAATGTGAGGTGAGAGGTGTAATGGCAACCATTTTCATTTGACTAATACTTTCTAAACTTTAGAATCTAAACTTTTGATTTGCATTTGTATTTGTTCTCTTTTGATTTCTGATCTAGCATCTTTGTGATTATTGCATTAAAAAAAACTGCAGGATAACATACATCCCAAAGTGCACTAATCTTAGCATGTACAGCTCGATTGGCTTTTTACGTTTGTGTATGCCCATGTAAATCATGTTCAGATTAAGACATAGAATATAAAGGGTACTTAAGGTTCCCGTGTGCACCGTTCCAGTTTATAATCCCCCCCGAAGTAAACCAATATCCTGACTCATCTATACATCCATTAGCCTTACTACAAAAATTTCCCCGAAGAAAACAAATGAAAACTCTGAAGGGCATTTAATCGGAAACTACGGTAGTGTAGGTATGAAATGACAATCAGTTGGCGCCAAATCCTGACGCATTACTTTGAAAAGCCTTCCTCTCCGACGCCCCGCCCACTTTCTACACCACGCCCCCCGCCCTTTTTTTTTCCTGCCCAGCAACACCGGGGCACAACAGGCGGCGAGCGGAGACCGCTTTTCTGTCATGCGCACTAGGGATGGGCGCGCTTCCCTCCTTCCCCATTCAACCAACTAGGACAAGGCGTCCTCCGACACACTGAGAGTCCACTAGGCGCGCGTGCGTCCTGCCGCGCGGTCTTGCGCATGAGCAGATCGGCCCGCGAGGGCGGAAGTGAGGAGCTAGTGCGCGGAGGTGGGGCCGCCGCACTTGCTGCGGGGCGGGCGAGCGACCGACATGGCGACACAGAGCAATGGTCATAAGGTGGCTGAAAAGAATGGAAGACAAATTCAACAATATGTGTAAGAACCAAGAGGAAATGATGAAAAATGCGCTGCTATAAAGAACTCAATAGAAAGCATCAACAGTAGACTAGAAGAAGCAGAGGAACACATCAGTGAGCTAGAAGACAAGGTAGGAAAAAATACCCAAGCACACCCCCTCGTTTCTTACCGGCGAATATTAAGTTTCTTCCTGACGCGCGCGCTGGTTTCGCGTCCGGGGCCGTGGTGCGCCTGCGAGATTGCGCTTCGGTTCTCCCCTTAACTTTAATTCATGGCTTTGGGGTTGGGGGGGAGGGTGGGGGTGGCGGGACTAGTTCCGTTAGTTATTTATCTTAGAGGGGTGGTGCACAGACGGACTCCAGATTTATTGTCGCCAGATTTCACAAAAGAGGAATTGGAGCAGAACCCCGCTTCTCCTTTTGTCTAATTGCCCTTAAAAGGTAGTCCATGTATCGTGTAGGAATTGGGGACTTTTTGTTTTACATCTTATTTTGTGGGTTAGGTATATATTTTTTTCAATGCCATGCACATTCAGGTTGGGTTAATTTTTTTTAAAATCTTCGTTCCCTCGATCATTTTTTCTTTCCTTGCTTTTCTCTTTCTACACCTCTCATTTCTTATTTGCGTGCGTGCGTGCGTGTGTGTGTGTGTGCGCGCAGAGAACTGAATGTCCTGGGTTGTGACTCGCGGTGCTCTCCTGGTGGTACTGCATTAAAGAGAAAATTAATGTATGAGTGTGATTATAAACTCTGTTCGAAGAAAATCACAAGTGTGTGGTGATTCCGTTATAACGAGATGCCTTTTGCATCGGTAGAAAAGAACCTGTCTGCCTTTGCTTTAGTTTTAAATTGGTGGTAGTGGTGGCATTATTACTGATATGATATTAGTTGCATTAGTAAAAAAAAAAAATTCCCCCAACACCCC